ATAAACGTGAATAATTGAGCTAAATTAATAATTTGATATTTGTTTACCAATTGATACTTTTATGACAAATCATTTTACATTCATTGCTATTTCATTCAGGTGACTAGCATAACTTAAATCAAGGGCAGTTCAATCAAACTTGTCACACATACTGTAACGCATGGAAATGACTTATTCTTTGAGGTATAAGTTGTATTTTCTTAAAATTGCTATTTCTAGCATTCAGTGAAAGAAAATGCGAACAGATCTGATTATATTTGTTTATTGCATGGGAGGAATGTGGTACAATGGTAACACGTATGCTGATGAAATGGGATGCTTTGGGTCAGAATCCCCCTCAAGATAACTAAAAAGGATTTTGTGTAACTATTTTTAACTGATATGGACATTTTTTTTCTCAAGAAATTTAACCCAAACATGCCAGGTAAAAGTATAGTTTCCAAAGCAAAACAAACAGAACAGAACAAATATATGAGCAATATTCTAATGCAAGTCTGACAAATCAAAACTCCTAATGCATCAGATTCAAACTAATAGCCAAAATAGAGTACGTGTGAAATAATTTTACATCTTGATAATACTCGTTTACACGTGTTACTGATGATGTTTTTGATTCAAGAATAATCAGATTTGTAAATGAACACCAGTTCTCGTGTCTAGAACAGATTCATTATGCTTGATGATGTCGCCACTGTACTGCTAAGGTTTTATATTTGATATTGTAAACAAAAACATTACAGCTTCCATTTGATGCTTTGTATCGGAAATTTGTCTTGCGTGTAATAATATTACATAGAAATGATGTACATTTCATGATATATAAGCTAGCTTTTTGTTTACCATCCTCTAACTCTCAAAAGAATATCCACCTTATTTTTAGAAAAAAGGTAGACCGATGCCAGTTTGTAGTCGAGAGGCCAACAACATGAAATTTGTATTGTCTCAAAATTGTCTATGGCATATGCAATGAAAGTAATGTAGTTACTTGTTGACCATAAAGCTAAGCTTTACGTCTGGTCAATAAGTATATATATTTATAAAAATATATATACTTATTGACTAGACATAAAAAATGCCTCAGCTTTATGGTCAACAAGTAACTTTGTGGGGACTGCACTTTTCGGGGGTAGCAAAACAATGCATTCAGGCTCTTAAGAATAATTGATTTTGTATTTCATTCAAAATACCATATTGTTCACACTTTGCTACATTTATGACAAATAATTTTACATTCAGTGTTATTCTCTTCAGGTGATAAGCATCTCAAAGTTTGAAACATTATTAAATACATGTTTTTATTCATTACAAAATGAAAACAAAAATCATTCATTTCTGAAGATAAAGTGCCTTTGAAAATAAAAATTCGTACACGCACTCCGACATGTTCATCGTTACGGGTACTTTCCGAGAGCAGCATAATGACATTCAACTATATCTATTTGCTGTAAATAAATTCAAAAGAGATGGCTAATTTGCTAAGGTGTATGTCTTTAAAAAAACCAGGAATTGGTGGGTGCGAGCCATATCATCGTCGGTTACCCACAATACATATTCTGTACATACTAAATTATCTAGATAAATGTAGTATGTACGGAGTATATACCAAGGGTAACCGACGATGACTATATACATACAGTATTTTCTAAAGCAGACTCGAAGCCAAAACTGGTATATTTCAAGTTTATTTCATTAAAATTTGAAAAAAATCAGTAAAAATCAGTAACAACTAATCGACCAGTACAGTATATTTTACCATCAAAGGAAAAACGAAGACTTTAAAAAGTTTACCTTCCTTTCCTATTTTCAATGTGTTCTTAAGGTATAATTTTATATCCAATTTTCAGAATGTTTATACTGCAATAGTTTTTTAATGTTACAGTTATATCGGACACAAAAAACTTATGTAACTCGTATGATAAAATCTGACATTTATAATCACGCATGACCTTAAAGTATTTATCTATGATAATATTTGAAAAGATACTGATGAAGACATTGCTATACAGTTAAACTAGCAATAAAGGTTTGTACCCGTTAATCTAAGCTGTATATCAAACACGAGTACAACGAAACCAAGATAAAGAAAGTAAATAAGTCCAAATTGCAAAAATCTAAATATCATACTAAACATTAAGTGCATATAAATATCAAAAAATTATTCTATCATACGTGGGATAACTTAAGGCGTAAAAATGAAATGTTCCAAGTAAATACTTGTGAACACATTTATCAAGTTATTGTATTGATTTCTGTTGATAAAGTGCATGCCTCATAAATATAGCTTTATCAGCCACCCTCAGCTTTATCAGACGCCTCAACAATACATATTGAAATAAAATTAAGAGAATCGAATATTTCACCTCTTATAAGTTTGAAAATATAAAATTGATAAACTTTGAATCGAAAATATTCTTTTTTTTCCATTTGACTAAAACATTTGGGACTATTTTTTAAGTTATTACCCTTGGCATATTACTAAACGCGAAATGAACTCGAGAGCTTCATTTGAAATTTAAAGAAAGAAACGCATATAAAATTGCAAACATGATAAATAGAATACAAAACAAATGTCTGACAATCATTATAAAATTTATCAGGCAAGGCTAAGAAAAAAAGGAGGACAAGGCTCTGTTTTGTATTATCAGACACTATCATGGTATTCTCTGTATCTTTTTCTCGTAAATGAATCACTGTCTTATAAAGGTATCACAAACATGGGTGACATGGTCACCTTATACACCCATTACAATTTTAAGTCTTTGGTGAAGATATGGGCATTATTGAAAAAAGTAGGAAAGACGCTGGATATTTAACAAAAAGTTTTAAATTAATTCAAACATTAAGAAGTTAATGATAATTGAAGTCCAAAATAGGATTACGGCAGTGTAGCATTTACAAGTTATCATAATTTTTCTAAGCAAGAAAACTAAGACCATGACCGTAGGGTTCTGGATATTTTGCACATGGCAAAGGTGTATTTTAAACTTTGCTCTCAAACTGGAGAACATCTACTAAAGGTGTAATCTTGACATTTGACATACTTACTTACTTTAATTTCACGATGATACCTCTCATGATGGTGAACATTTATTCTTATCAGATATTATAGGATGACCTTGTTGCGCGAAGATGAATTGCTATATTCCAAATCATTATCTTGGGGGACCATGTTTATGCATATATGAACATAACACTCCAACATTGGTTTAAGAATTCCTCGATTCATGTTGTCTAAATGGTCCATGCAAACGTTTTTGCAAATATTCGAAAGGCACTTGAATTATGAATTATCCGCGGGATACGTAGTGTTACAATGATAAATAGTTGTGCCCATTTTTTTTGTTTAGAATAAACTGTTTCCTCTGATCTCTTAATGTCTTACTGAACTTGGCCCAAAAACAATGTATTTGATGATGGAGATCGTGCCTTGTCAAATTTGGGAAATTTTAGACAGAACAAAACGACAATATATAAACGTGAATGAATTGAGCTAAATTTAATAATTTGATAGCATAACTTTTTTGTTTACCAATTGACTTTTATTTTCATTATCGTGAAGATTTTGCTAATCATTTCATTGTCATGCAAGCTGTGCCATTTGACTATATATTCCATAAGATTGCCTGCTATAATGGTGATTGACCGACAGTGTATACTGGAAAATGATTAGGATAAAAAATAAATTTACTCGAAATATAAAAAGACTGTTCCACTCTTTTTTTATAGATTGAACATCACAAGTATAAATGGATATTTACAGTAATTTCATTGAGACACGTAAGTTATTTTTCGTTCATGAGAAGTAATTTATAAGACTGAAAGGAATTATTGCAAAATGTAAAACTTTACTTTGTCTTTCAACTATAAGCATATCAGAAAAAATAACAAATAGTTCTGCAGTTATGATAAAAAAGAAAACGATAATAATATGGTAACTTATCAACCGATTTAATAACAGATTCGGTATATTGCAGCTAAAATAATCGATGAAAATCAGATTCTGTTATGAAAAAAAACTGGGTAAAAACAAAAACCCTCTTGTCAAAAGATTTTGGGTTTTTTCGTTTCCTTTTTCCCATTGGGAAAAAAATATCGTTTTCCTTTTTCCCCCTGGTAAACATTTTATCTTGTGCAACCGAAAACCAATTCTTCCAGTCACCGACTTGACCTAGAAATATCAAATAAGAATATATTTATGTCATTCTAATTAATGAGCAAACTTTGATAAAAAATAGTATCATATACATGTAGAAATATATCTTAAATGTGTCTTAAAAACAATCTTGGCAATCTTGGAAATCTGTTTTCATTCATTCTTTGTTTTGTTTTATTTTTTTATATTTGTTTTTATTTTTTGTTTATTTTTTTTAACTTGAATAGGTTTTCTTTTCTTGTGGTGTTAGAGTTTGCAGTGGTCTATGTTCTGTTGGTAGGTTTAATGTGCAGGTAGGTTTAATATGCAGGTAGGTTTTTACCTTGGAGAGACATTCGTCCCTCTCTCATTTTTTTAATAAATGAAATTTAAGTTTAATTTAAAACTAAAACAGATATTAACCGGAGAAATAACGTCAGATACAAGTATATTTATAAACAAGAGGTCAATGATTTTGGCATAACTCATCACTAATGCATGTCCGATTCTAAACTGACCTTACCTTTTCTAAAGAAATTGAAATCCTTTTTAAGATATACTTCAATTCCTTTATTTTTCCCTTTTTCTTCACGCATCTTTTCAAAACCACACATTTCCATAATGTCATTCTTCAGTTGATCATCTAGTTGTATATCAAGAAATTTCAACAGCCTATCAAGTTCTTTCTGTCCATTCTAAAATGAAAGACAAAAACCGACTTTAATTTTAAAATTAAAGTTCGTTAGAGCAAATCATTTTGTCAATCATATCTAATTTATAAGAAATCAATCAAAATGATCTACGTTGTCCCTTATAATTGGTTATGTCATGCACCAATGTTCACCGATGTTCTTGCTAAAAAATCAAAAGTAGTATCGTGCGTTTATGATGTTTACAAGACCTAAACCTGACAACCCTGTCAACCAATTAAAATTAAGTTAACAAACCATTTTCACGTCCTCGTAAAACATGACGTGTATCGGAAATCCTGGACCTTCTTGTATTAGTTGTTGCCACTCTATCAAATACTCACTGTATTTTCCATATTCCACTGAAACCAATACAAATGAATTATTTCACATTCTTAATATTGAAAGAATCAATGGAGAGTGATCCCTCATATCAATTATTGATATTTATATTTACAAACAAACGTGTTAATATAATCGTTATCTAGGTAGGTACGTAAGGCATCTGTGCTCGTGGCATAAGAAGACATGTTTTCGAATATGACATTAGCCCTGGAGCTGGTTAAATTCGCGATCATCAATCAAGTTTTAAAGCTTTAAAGTTGCGATTATTAAAAAAAAACATCTGATGGATATAAATAAACCTCTTGAAACTAAGCATGTATTATATTGTAGTTGTGTTCCTAAACTTGAAAATAATATGAAATTACAACCGCATATTTTCCCTGTGAAACGTACTGATTTGCATTTCATTATTAATCTTTAATCTTCTAGGCTATTTAAAGTAATAATTCCCATGTGCACGACGTGTGCTACATGGATAGCGTTTTGGGAATGCCCTATACATTTATTATAAAAATAT